TTTTAATGTCATGGACCAGTGCATATTCAAAAAGAATTTTGGAAACAAACATAGGGTTGCCAGCTCTTTATTTTGTTTGCTCATGACCTTCAAAAATAAATACAGAACAGTTAACATCTCCCACTTTGACTTCAGAAAATAAAGGATGATTTTAACAGCATGTTAAAAGGATTTAATCTCAGAAAAGCAGGTGGCTCTTAAATTGAATGTATTTAGCTTTATGAGAAACACTACTTTCTCAAGGATTGGGACTGATGCACAGACTGACATGTTGAAATCAGTTTGTTTTTTGTTTTGTTTTGTTTTTTTAAATAATAACCTATCTTCCACTGGCTGAGTATCTAGCTCTGACCTGTAGGTAGCCCATTTCCTGGTTTTTATTCCTGAGTAGATATTAAAATTTTTCCTCTACTATCAAACAACTGGCAAATCTCCCCTGGAGCACTTACTACAGTGGGTTGCAATTCGCCGTCTGTCTGGCAGTATCTTCCATTATACCATATTCTTTTAGGGAGAGGACTATGCTTTTTCAGTCCCTAGAGCCTATTTTGGGGACCTGGTACTTACTGGACACTCAATGAATGAATGCTCATTTAAAGGATGGACGAATTTGAATTATATGAGAGTTCAAAATTCATTCAACTCACCAGGCTATTTGTATGCATAGCCAGTAGGAATTATGTGTGTGCACGTGTGTTTAAATGTCTGTGTTGAGATAGCCATTGGGAGAGAGGATCTCCATTTTGACTGTATTTCATCTTCCGTATCTAGCCAACCCTCAGAATGAAAGCCAAAATTAGATTGAAGAATTCTTAATAAAGCTTTGATAATTCAAGGGGCACCATTTTGGCGTGGACTGAGCAGGCTTGGAAATGTTACTTGAAATCAGCAGGCAGCCCATTCATTGTCAGGGCTGCAGTGGGTCCAACCAGCTCATGGTGCGATGGAGCAAGGAGACCTGTCAAGCCTGTTGCTTACGGATGTGTCTCTCTGTGACTAGGGAGTTACTGACGGCTAGAAAGTTGTGTTCTGCTTCTTGCTGACATTCAGAAAGCAGTGGTGAACTTCTAATATCTGACACTCAGCTCCTTAAACATTCTTTATAGAAGGCCCTGTGCGAGATAGGAAGGTACATTTCTCCATGGGGTGTGGGCCTTTTCTCTTTCTGCGCATACATCGGTCAAGGACTGAGGACTCTGATTGGATGTGTCCAAGGCATTAAAGATGAACTCTAGTTCATATTGCAGAAAGATAGATTTTTGAAAATAAAGGTAGTAGTTGGGGTGGGAGGTTTGTTGTTTTTTCCCCCAGTAGAGTTGTGAAGGTTATTGTGAACAAAGTCCTGTGTCAGAAAAAAAGCACAATAGTTTGAGGGCAAAAGGGAGCTGAGACTAGCCCAGACAATCTGACTTCAAACTGCCTACTTTGGCTAGAAGATTGATTGAAATGAAAACAATGTAAAAAAATTCTGATTATTTTAAATACTGTACATAAAACAAGACCAACCCTTTCCCTCCCCCACCCCCAAAAGAAAATTCTTAACACATTCTTTCTACTACCACCACCCTAAAAAGCCTTTAACTTGATTACTTTGTGCTCTACTCCATTTTTCAATCTTTCTAAATATATATATTTTATTCCCACTAGCCAAGATTTGGTTGAGTTTTTATTTCTGCAGTTTTGGTGTGTGTGTGTGTGTGGTGGGAATAGGGGTAGAAGACCTACAGGTTTCTTTTCTCTCAAATATAAAATTATTTGATAGTGCCAAATGTGCTTCCTTTACCCTAAATCAAGTTTCTAATCTGAGTTTCCACCCCTCCCCTTCTGGTCTCCCCTTTGAAACCCTTGGGTTGACATTTTCCTGAGTGTTTCCACCAGAAAACCAGAACCTAGCTGCAAAGTTGTAAATATTTTCACTTCAGTTTCTCAGCATTTCCAGACTGTAAGAGGACTTAGCATTGAATGGAGCAAATTTACCCCAACTCCACTGAGCAACTTGCTTTCATGATGCGATTTGAGACAAGCCTTCATTTTCTTTTTGCCTACAACACGCACATCAGGCATCAACCTTTTAAGCAGGACTTCTTTAGAGAACCGAGGTCGTGATAAGCTTAACTGAGATGGAAAATTTTGATCATCTTTCTTTGTGGCTGTGGCAGCATGCCCTGGTTCCCTCAGGAATGAGCAGTGCTCTGAGTTGGAGTTCCTGAATGAAGCTGATAATCAGCTCTGTGGTTGAAGGAGCAAGTGTTTTTTATGAGTTTGGGCAGCAAATATTAATATTAGGCTTCAATATACCAGTCTCGTCCTTTATTGTTAATTTCGATCTCTTAGAATTACATTGGGTAATATAAACCAAAGCCAGGGGAGTGCTAACTCTTTTTCCCTTCATTGCCCCCTTCATTCTATTCCCCTTTTTCATTTTTTTCATTATAGGCGCTGGAGTGTGTATGTGTCTGCACAAGTTGTTAATTACAGTGTGAATAGGGCCCCTCAAGTTGGCAGTCCTGGCTGCAGGTATTTGGAGGCAGAGGGCTTTCTCCAGTGGACCCCCAGGGAGGTGTTCTCATAGGAAACGCAATGATATATCTGGAAATCCTCAGACCTACCCAACTTTTGTTCTCCTGGAGGTAGATTTGAACCTAGGAGTTCATAATCCTGTGTGAACCTGGTACCCTGAGGTCCTCTGGCCACAGAGGTCCACAAATCAACCACTCATGAAATTATTGCTTAGGGAAATCCTGTGGATTCTTTTCTTCTAGAAACTGCATGTTTTCCTGTTCCAAGAAGTGCTTGTGATCACTCGAGCCATCACCCACAATGAACAGCTCTGCTACCAGTTGTACCGTCAGCCGATTCCGGTAAAGGACCTCCTGCTGGAAGACCTGCAGGATGGAGAAGTGAGGCTGGGCGGCTCCCTGCGCGGAGCATTCAGCAACAATGAGAGAAGTACGGACGGCAGTTGGGGTTGACCTACTGAATGGTTTTGGTCATGGTAGTTGGGAGGAAGTGGCTGGCTGGTGAAAAGAAAAGAACTGCAGCCTTGACAAACTACATTTGAATGCTGTCCTATCACCTACTGATTGTGTAACCTTGTTGAACCTCTATGATTCTCAGTTCCCCATCTGCAAAATGGAGATACATACGTACCACCTTCATAAGGTTATTATAAGGATTAAGTAAGATTCTATAAGGGAACCTGTCTGCACATACTCCGTAAGCTCTCTTTCCCTGTCTTCTTCCATTAGATAAAAACATGCTTAATACCAGGTGGTCCCTACGTGGATACCAGTTGCATTGTGGTGGGTTTTATAGTTGAGCTGGGAGACTTGTGTCTAACAAGACATAAGAATGGTCAACTGGAATGAGGGTTCATCTGTAACATTACTCAAATGGGCTTCTCTAACTTGAGACTTAATAAACAAAAAAGTTTACCAAAAGAAGCTAAGATAGCACTGTCTGTTGAATATATTCCACATGTCAAGCATTGTTCTAGTCACTAGTAGTGCAAGCGGTTAACTTCCTTGTCCCTATAAAGTTACTTACATTGTGATGAAGGAGATAGATGATAAATAAATATTCTGGGTGCTGTTAAGAAAACTAAAACCCAGTAAGGGGATAGAGAGGGATAGTAGTAGAGGCCAGTTTTAGATGTGGTGGTCAGGGAATTCTTCTTTGGAAAAGTAACCTTTGAGCCTCCTGGGTTGGCACAGACATCATATTGTCCAAGTAATTAGTGTGCACTGTCTCTTACCTACTAATCAATCCCTCTACCCTCGTAGTAGTAGTAGAAGAAGAAGAAATAAGACCTTATATTTTTGAGTACCGACTATGTGCCAGGCATTGTATAAGCACTTACACGTATTATCACATGTATTCTTCATAACAACCTTGTAAGGTGGGTTCTTATTGTTTTTCCCCATTTTATAAATAAGGAAACTGAGACATAGAGGAGTTAAGGCACTTGCCTAAGATCAAATTGTGGAGCCCAAATTTAAGGGACAGAGATTATCTTTGAGCCAAAGGTGGCTAGCAGGGAATCATTTGGGTCTGCTCTGCCTTAGCCTCCACCTAAAGTGGTGGTTCCCAGCCTACTGGCTATAGGGTAAGTGCAAAGGGACTGACTGACAGCAGAGGCTTCCACGAACCAAGCATTGCATGTGGCACACAGGACCCATTAAATGTCCGTTATGTTGCTGTTATTAGATTAAATGTCTTCCATATTGTGCACTACCATTTTTTAAATGCATGTAGCTCCTGTTGAGATAATTAAAATGTAATTTCATTTTAAAACAAAACCAAATTTGTCTTTACATATGTTCTCAATCATTGGATACTAAGTGTGCAGGTACTTACTCTCATGTGGAGAGTCATGGGCATGTTCTAGTGTTAAAAAGAACTTCTTAAACTAGAAAAAGCTCTAGCTTAGGGTGCTTATTGAAATTACAGATTATCAGATCCACTTTATACCTATTGAATCAGAATCTCTAAGGATAGGGCCCAGGAATCTGTGTTTTTAACAAGCTCGTCCCAGGGGATTTTGTCAGGTTTGGTAAACAGTGCTCCGGGGTCCCCTGAATCACAAGACTTCGTTGTCTCAAGATGATATCCACTTGCAAGGTTCTGAGAGCAGTGAGGGCAACTGAGAGCTAGACCTGTGCCACCTCCGGCTAATTGATGGTGGCTGCAGGGGGAGCTGAGCCATGTCCTGGATCAGTGGGAAACATTTTGCAATCACCGATGTCTGCCTTGGTTACTGGGGGTTAGTACTGCTACATGTGTTATCTTTGGCCTGGGGAAATACCTGTCCATTGACTTTTTTTTTCCCACATATTTTTCATTTCTAGTTAAAAACTTCTTCAGAGTCAGTTTCAAAAATGGATCGCAAAGTCAGACCCACTCGCTACAAGCCAATGACACCTTCAACAAACAGCAATGGCTCAACTGTATTCGTCAAGCCAAAGAAACGGTTCTGTGTGTTGCCGGGCAGGCTGGGGTGCTTGACTCCGAGGGACCATTCCTAAATCCTGCCACCGAGAGCAGGGAGCCACAGGGAGAAACAAAACTTGAGCAGATGGACCAATCGGACAGTGAGTCAGACTGTAGTATGGACACAAGTGAGGTCAGCCTCGACTGTGAGCGCATGGAACAGACAGACTCTTCCTGTGGGAACAGCAGGCATGTTGAGAGCCACGTCTGACAGAGTGTACTTCCTGGAAGTAGCCCTGCGTCTTACCTGTACAGTATTTGCATTCCACACATGGAACGGTTTGGAGAAGCACTTTTTAATACTTTTGTGACCATGTTGGCCCAGTCTCTTCTATCTGTACCTTTGTCCCTAGTACTGTAACTGCCAGTCTAGTCTGTCTGTGTAAGCTGGAATCCATGGCAACTGTTACCCTGTATTGTATTTCACAAGTGTCTGGATGGATGGAGAGGTACTTGAACAAGTTACTTTCAATTGCCCTGCTGGATTTTTTAAAAAATAGAAACAAAAAGAATTTCTAAACTACTGTTTTATGTAGATTGCTTGAAGAGTTCTTCCTCCTGTGCGCCTCTAGTGCTTGTCCAGCTCTTGGACGTGGTAGCCGAAGGCATGGAATTTAGACGGCCTTGCAAACAGCACATGAGGAAGTCATGAGGGAGTGTTTCGGGATGGCACTGGAGGCAGAAGCGGGGAAGATCAACCCTTGAAGTGAACTTGATTTGATGTTATTCAACTAGAAAGTCTGAAAACATCCCTGGGAATTCTGAAGGCTTAATTTTGCAAAGGAGGAAGCATTGTCTGAACCTTGCAATTTCATCTAGTGCCAGTTTGATGTAAGAATCTGTTAGGACATGAAATAGAGGCTGACGTTAAAAGGGCCAGGACAAAAGCAGCTGCCAGCTGTGAATCTTTAACTGAAATGTGCATGGCACTGAGAGGTGTCTCTCATAGTTGGTGGCCAACCTAAAACGTCAGAATAGAACCCAGAGGGCCTGGGAAAACCTGCCAGGATAACAAGAAGGCCCTGTCTTCATTTTGTTTCATCTGCCCAGACCTACTCATACTTTAGAGTACGAACGAAGCGACAAGGAAAACAGGCTGTGACTCTGTCAGTGACTTGGTTTATAGAAACACAGGAGGGGAAGAATTTGGAATAAGAAGCACTTCATCAGAACCTCCTGTGGGAACCATTAAAAGAGAAAAGCGTGACCCAGTGCATTCTGAGAAAGGCCAGAGCCTTGGGTTTTCCTGCTCTGCTTTTAGGTGGTCAGTTTGCCATCTCTGGTTCTGTGCGCTATAATCAGAATTATAATTACATTCTCCAGAGGCCAATTTCATTAACTCTGATTAATTAGAATCAGCTAGCCAAACTAGTAACCTCTTTGTCCAGCCTTGATTTTACAGTGCAGGGTGGAGTGCAGACCTTGAAAAAAGTCAACTAAATACACAGAAAAGTTCCCTGCGAATGTAAATATTAAGGATGACCTGTGCAAAATTACACCCACACCAGCACTAGTAGTAATGATTTTAAATTATTGCCAAAAAGCTTTTTTTTTAATTTTCTGTGTCTTTCAAGTTTACAGAAAAGAAAGCAGTAAATACAATGTTGTCATTTTATTATGTACATATATCATGTGCATTCAAAGAAGCTGCGTGACAAGATATATCAATTTAAAAACAAGGTATGTTACTTTATTATTTTTCAAAAACTAAAAAATATTGTGGTCAATTTTACCTTGTAAAACTTATTTCTGTATTTATAGATTTTAAACATGGTGAATTTTTTCTATTACAAGTTTATTTAAAACTGCTTTGTTTCTCAAGTCGTTATTGATTTATTGAGTGAACCTGCTGCAGACAGAAGCAGAGGAAAGCCAAGAAAAGCCTTTTGATGGTGAAGAAAATAATGAATCATTCTTTGCAGGAGCCATCGGCCACTTTGGCCAATGTATTGAGAAAAGACATTTGTAAAATGTTGGCCTATGGGAAGAAAGTCAATGAATGTTTTGATGAAATGAATGTTTTTGTATAATGGCCTTAAACTTTTCTGGAAGCATTTCAAATAAATTACATTAAAATGTTATCCTCCTTGTGTACAGCGTTTGCCCTACAAACATCAAATTTCAACTACTCTCCTGGGGAGGTTCTTTCTGAAATTTTTGCTTGCGGTTTCCAAATGCAAACTTTAAAATAGGGTGTGGACTGAAATAAATGCTTTGATTTGGTCTATCAAAGCTTTTTAGAATTCATGTTTCTAAGATCTGTTTTTTTCAAGCATTTTCCATTCATTTACTCATGTATTCATTTTTAATAACTATTTCGAATCCAGACTATGGATAAATGATAAATCATAGCTGTTAGAGAAGAAGTGTTGATTCTCACTGCTAGCGTAGGTGAATGTTGATCAACTTGAGGCTAAATAAAAGGCAAATTTCACTTTGAAATTCTTACTGGTATTTCAGTCCACTTTTTCTTTAATTAAAATGTTTAGCTTTTTTCTCACAAAGAGTAGTTTTTTAGATGAAAAAGCTAAACAGTTTTAAGCCATCGACAGCCAGTTCTCAACAGCACATTGGCCTGATAAGATTGTATTATCTTTATAATAAGCTCTCGCCATTTTCTTTAACATACGGTTAATTCCCAGATTAGGCAAGATATTCATATTAATAAATGTAAGTCCATAAGAAAACACTTCTTGTTCTCTGTTTCTTCCTCCTCCTTCCCTTTTGTCCTCCTTGTCCTTTTTCAGTGCCCTCCATTTTTCATTCCCATAATTGTATTAACTGTTGATACTAGAGGACGTATCTTTACTAGTATATTAGAAAATGTTTGCACTGACATTTCGTGGGTTAGTACAAATTACTGAGGGCTAAAGGGTTTTCTTCAGTCTATTTTCAAGATGTTATTTTACACACAACTAAATGTAATCCTTGCAATGTAAATGAAAAGTCATAAGTGATGAACAGAGCCAGAACTAGCAATTTGTGAAAATTGGAGTGTGGTTTCAGCTTCTGGGTTGTGGTCACTGCCACTGACTGCTTTAGTTTCCATTCCCAGCACAGCCTGCAGCAGCTCAGAATGCAAAATTCTTCATAACCAGCGTCCTGTTTCAACAAAGACTGTCTGGTTACAGGAAGTTACAACCCACTGTCTTAGTGAACGGGCCGTTCAACTTTCCACTTACATTCTGTCCATGACTTTTTTTTTTTTTTTTTACTAATTCTCCGAAAGCCTGAGGACTCCCTGGAAGATTTCATGAAGAGAATGTCTGGCACTCAGTTTGACTGGAGTCGGTTTCTCCCACCTGGCTTCCCTTGGCATTGTGAAAATAAACACTGAATACCCCCTCCAATTAATGCAGTTGAGTCATTTAATTCATGAATCTTGTGTATTGACAGACTTCTATAACTAACCCTGACTCAAGCATTATAAAAGCAATCCTCGTAACCAAAAACATTTGTACCCCTGTAATACTTTGAAATTTTGAAAAGATTTAGGAGAATTAAATGTGCTAATATACCTAAAGTACTTAGAATGGTACTATAGCAGATATTTTTGTTTACCTTTACAAATCCACTGTCTGCCCTGATCCACCCTTCTATGTGCCTGTGTGATCTGCATGCACGTCATCAATGGGCTGTCTTGCCTGAAGTTTCTGGTTTGGTTTGGCCAAATGAAAGTCCTTGTGTGAGATCAGTGAGAGAAGAGTGAGGTTGGAGCATTCATTCTCCAAGCTCCCTCCTGAAGGATTGGCTTGAGCTGGCTGCATCTCTCATCATGAGGCCTCCGCTCCTCTCAGAGTCCTCTCTGAGTTCCTGTAACCCAGCCTAGAGTGGTAACAGCGCCGCTGTCAGTCTCTAGCTTCAGGATATTGCACTGTCCCTACTTCCTGCCCGCAACTGTCTGTAAAGTCCCTTTGTTAAACCCTCCTAATTTGAATATGTTATATTTGAATGTGCTGCTGAGCCTCTGATAAGTGCTGGTGCCCGACATGATAAACAGAATGTATGTGTGCTGGCATCCCCATTAATGTTACCATTCCACCGTTTGCTTTCCATTTTCAGATATTGTGGTTCAGGATACACGGATCTTTGGAATCATCAAAAATGGATTTTGTGTTTCTGTTTCTTATTATATATTTTTGTGATTATTTTCTGAGAAGAGAAATGAAAGTATAGTTTAAAAACAAAGGCAAATGCTACGCATGGTGGCTTGTGCCTGTAGTCCCAGCTACTCAGGAGGCTGAGGTTAGGAGGATGACTTTAGGCCAGGAGATCGTGACCAGCCTGGGCAATATGGTGAGACCCCATCTCTCAAACAAACAAACAAAAACAAAGGAAAAATACTTTTTTTAGGCATACAAAAGCTGAAAGAATTCATCACCAGCAGACCTCCACTACATGAAATGTTAAGAGGACCTTCTTTGGACAGAAACAAAATTATCGCCTGTAGAAATATGTATCCACACAACAATGCAGAGCACTAAAAATGGAACTACACAGGAAAATGGGAAAGGCTTTTCTTATTTAAGTCTCTTTAAAAGTAATTATTTCTAGCCATGATGGAGTAACAGGAACCAGATTTGCCCTTGTAACTAAAACAACAACAGAAAAAAGAAAGACAAAATATATAACACTATGGATTTGAAGACACTGGACATTATGCGCAATGAAGGACAGTAACCATAACAAGGAAAACAAATGAGATGAGCCCTGCAATTGCTCCAACTTACAGCCTTAAGAGGGTTTTTAGGCAGCAGCACAAGGAAGGAGAACCCAGTCAGAGGCCGGTGTACTTCCTGTGTGGAAGAGTTGGAACTGAGCGTTTAGGGAGACTGAGGCAGCTACCGTTTATAGGACAAGAAGGAGAGCACTGCATGAAGAGACCTCAGAGACCTGTAGAGGGCCCTCAGGTACTAGGCAGAGTTCTGATCAGTGTACACATGTGAAGAAAATACCCAAAGCTGGGAGAAAACTATCCAAAAAAAATTACAGGGAACTCACATGGTGCTGGGAAGAATGCCTATTCCCATAAACCAGACGAGAAGAATATCATAATTCACAGCGCGTTGAGTAAAGTACTCAGAAGAGTCTAGTTTCAGTAATGGGGAATAATTAGCCCTAAGTAAACACTGCTGTGGTCCAATCTAATAAATCTTAAAGACCAAATAGGATCAAACTGTAACTGCATCCCAGGGCAAAGCTCAATGATACTTATAGGAATGCAAAATAATCCAGCATCTAATGGTAAAATTCACAGTGCCTGCCATCCAATCAAAGAATACCAAGCATATTTCAGAACATACCCTTGAATGAAAAAAATTAATGCAAAACAAAAAATATTCAAACAATATTTTTTAAAAATAATAAAAAGACCACCGAGCATTCAAAGCAGGAAAATACAACCCATAGGAGAAAAATGTAAAAGCCAATCAAAACTGACTTATAACTGACACTGATGTTAGAATTAGCAGACAAGGGCATTGAAACAGCTAATTGTAACTATATTCCATATTTTTAATGTTAAGTAGAGACATGAAATATGAAAAAAAGACCTGAATCTAACTTCTACAGATGAAAATTAC